TTTACAGTTTCAACACCATCAGCTTCTTTTTTTTTTTTTTCTTTTTTTCTCTGTTTACATAACATAAGAATATTACAAATTCCACTACATATTATAAAATTTAACAAAATAAGCAAAACAGATAGGGGCTCAAAGAAGATGAGGATGACAGAACGTCATCGCAATCTTTTCATAGAACCCTTTTAATAAGATTTAATTAAAATACCGTAATATGACATATAAAATAAAAAATTTCAATAAAATGCGTAATCCGCTTATAAAATTTGTCAAGCAACAAGCAAAAGTCGAAACAAAACAAAAACGTATTTAAGAGAATTTAACCAAAGCATTATTAACAAAAAATGTTTCACAGGTTTTAAAAATTTCTTTTTTTGTTAAAAACTTGAATGAACTTAACGAACTCACCGTACCTTTGAACCCTTTTTGAAAAATGTTCCATACTTTTGGACCTCGATATAAAATGCTGTATTCTGAATATTTATTTATTATCCTAGGCAGTTTATATGTGTTCAACATATTCGCTCTAAGATTATAGTTATCATTTTTATTTAACTCAAACTTATTATTAAAGCTTATATGAGAGATATTGTGATTGTAACGATACATGAAAATTAAATGCTGGTAGATATTTATTTCAAATACATTCATCATTTTCATATCTTTCATCAAGGGATTAGCGTGTTCCCGCCTATTTTTAAAGTAAATGATTCTACTTTATTTTTATTTTATTTTTTGTTTTGCTTCTGTTTTTGCAAAAACTAGTTTTCTTGTAATAAATTAAAAATTCATCTTACTCCCAAGATAGAGAATATGAAACTTTACTGTAGATTTTGTAAAGAGCAAAAACTACATACGAGCTTAGTTTTTATGAATGCAATGTTTTATGTAATGCAATCGTTTTCTTGTGATATTTATAAACGTTAAAAAAAAATCAATTACTACTAAAACTATATTACATATTGTTTAACAGTCTACCGATTAATTTATTGAGTTAAAAAAAAAATTTAATTATTAGTAATTCAATTAGTTTCTAAATACTAAATCATAAAAGTATTGGTAAAGATGTTGTCTTCAATACAAGAATTAGGTTTATTTCGCATGTGTTTTGCTCAATTTGACTATAGGTATTATGGCCGAAATTGATTCCTTTACCGTGTGTATGCTTGTCGTACCATTTTTCTTTTATAAAAATTACTGAATGTCCAATACGCTGAAAAGTTAATCTTTCTAACGACATAAGATTTCATATAGTCTTTTTTGTTAACATCTGTAGAAACAAAACTTAAAGATGTCACTGGGATAATGACTTTATTAAAAACATCTTTTCTGTCGCAAAATGTTTTTGAAAATTTCTAAACCGTGTTCGAAACGAAGAGCGTTTTTTTAAAGTGTGCATTTTAACCAAAATTAATTTTTTTTCAGGATTTGGATTCAATATTGAAAGAGGTACAATTGAACGTAGTTATGCAGATAGCAGCCTGCTACAAAAAAACTCAAACTGAGATTTTTTTTTTCACTTTCATCTAAATGTTGAATGATCGAACCTATACAAATCAAATATCTTACTGGCAATTACTGCGAATTTTTGTATGAAAGCTGCCTTAGCGGATTTAGCAAAGTATAAAATTGACCTTGCTGTCGGGTGACATCATTATCTTAATTTGGCCGAGAATGTGGACTCTCACTGCTTTCAGCATAACATTCAATAACATTTCTGCATAATGTTCGGTTTAAACTGTTAGCATAAATAAACCAATTGACCTTTCCCCATTAAGCAATGCATTATGGTATTTGTATGTACAGAAAAGTCAAAAACTCGCGATTCATAGCAGGCACTTTAGTCACGTGACTTTTTCTGCAACAAGTTTAGAATATAAACTTAAGCGAATTTTTCGGCAACTTTTTCGGGAATTATTTTCATAGTACCTAATTTCAAACCCAATTGCCTGTTATATTTCACTTGCAAAAGTTTAAAAAAAATGTTCATCTGTGGAGATTATTCTTCAAAGTTCCTTAAAAAAGATGCTAGTAGATTTTTTATGTCGTTTTCTCAATAGTTTATTTAATTTACACTTTTTAATACACATCAAAAAAGTTTATTTAGCCTATTAAATTACAATATTTGATACTTGTTTTTATACTAATTTGTTTTTTATATCTGGACTAAACAATTAAAAAAAAAAACACTTTCTATTATTTTCCTATTTTTTTTGACGCCATTATGGCCGTTCAATCAAAATAACTAGTTATTTATGTGCATCGTTTTTTTTTTTTTTTTTTTTTTTTTTTTAATTTTTTTTTTTTTGTTCTTTTATCTTTATAATGTTGTGATTCTACATGATTGGTACAAAGTTATAATGTTTTTAAAATATATAATACTAAAAATATATCACAATTATAATGATTTTTTATATTAATATATATTATTGAAGTTTTTTGGATCTATAGAGAGCGTTTATTTACGTAACTTTTATTTCAAATACTTTTTTATATCTAGCTGTTTTAAATGCAGAATAGAGATTTATATTTGTGGCATCAAAGTTTAGAAGAAAAAAACTAATCCTATGTGAGCACAGTTTTTAGACAACGATTTTCTTCAACTTTCAAATTACTGATAATGACCTTAGTTTGTTTTTGAAAATAAAAAGAGTTATTCAGAAAAGTAGGTTTCTGACTAAAAAAAGTAAAGAAGAATTTATGATTTTAAATTCTATACCACGAATATCTGAAACAATTATTCAAACATTTTTACTTTCAACATCACCTAAAAAAAAAATTTTTTCAAAAAGCTCTAGATCTTAAAATCGAAAATAAAATTTTTAAGCGTAAAGTCGAAACTATTGACAATTTAAAAGAGAATTATGAAAACTGCTATAAACAGCTAAATAGTCTTGAAAGTGGCTATGAAAAACTTTAGCCAGCTATAAAAACCAGCAATCCAGAGAAACTAGAATTTGTAAGACAGCCCAAATAGTGTAAAGCGTTATATACAACAACGAATGAACAACTGTCAATTCTAGAAAGAAAGTTTACCATATTAAAACTTAAGAATAAAACAAACAGAATTCGAAATTTAAACAAGAAAATTTTGTATCGAGATATAAAGTTAGAAAAACAAGAAAAAGAAATTGATGCATTAAAAGCCCAATTTAAAAGCCAATCTCAAACTTAAATAAGGAATTTGATGACCTTAATCAAATGCTAGAAAGTAGTATATATTTTTTATATTTTATCTCAACAAAAAAAAAAAAAAAATCTTCAAAAAAAATTATGTCGTTTGAAAAAAAAATTAAATAAAACAAAGGAAACAATTTCAGCTTCTTCAATTGAAAATCTTACTTTTTTGCAGTTAGAAGTTAAAGAACTTGGTGCAAAAGTTGAATCATTAAACAAAGAAAACATATATTTAAATGGGTTTTTGAAGTTGTTGGAAGATAAGGAAATTGTAACTTATGAAAGAGGGCGTTATTTAAATGATATTTGTGAAGTAATTATGAAACTGTTATCATTAAATGTCAGTATGAACAAGGTCAATGATGTCATCAAAATTGTTTTAAAGAAACTTGCAAAAAAAAAAAAAATTTCAAATCTTCCCTCTGTAGGTACAAGATCTAAATTTATGTCAAAGGCTTTAATTTTTGCACAGATTCAAGTATTAGAAGAAATGTTAGATAATGTTGAGAAAGACACAGGAAAATGTTTGCATGGGGATAGAACAACCAAATATCACAAACATTATTAAAACTTTCATTTCAGTTGACTTCCAAAAGTGGTAGAATGCTATCATTTAGGCTATCAGATTTGGCTTCTGGTGATGCTGGTTCTACTTTGAGTTTTTTAACAGAAACATTGGATATTTGTGATGTTCTAGACACAAAAGACAAGTAAAAAGACTTTTCAAAGTTAATTTGTTCATTTAAGACAACTATGTCAGATTTAGGTTCTGTCAATCCACTGTCAAAAGTAATAGAACATTGGGATTATTTAACAATTAAACAAAAAAATGAATTTAAGGATATGTCAAATTTTTATTGCAAGTTACACCTTTTAACAAACTTTGCAACTGAGACAGATAAAGTACTAAATTCATTTGAAAAAATAGCTGAGTGATGATCATATAGACATTTTTGATTTTAAAACTTTTGAATCTGAGGCTGCGAGACTGATACGTACTGCATGTAAAGCATTCCATAAACGAGATAGCAAGGAAGCTGGTGTTGCAGCATATTTTAATTCTTTTCTCATTGGAAAAGGCGAAGTCAAATGTATGTTTGCTCCTTTTATAGGCAATAGGTTCAACATTTTGTATTATAATGGGGCTGCACTTGATTATCATTCTGAATCTATTAAAGAATTTTTGAGAAAGTATGTAAGAATTATTATAAGAAATTAATATTTATTTACTCTTCAATATTTTCTTTGTTGGGAATTTACATTAAACGATAAATTTTCGTTTTACCTAGCTAAAGTATTTAGGTACAAACATGCAAAATACTGACTTAATTTTTTTTGAAAAACATTGTTCTTCGAAGTCTTATATAGTGAAAGAATTTACGTAAGTGAACCGAACAAATATGAAAACATAGGCGAATTCTTATAATTTCTTTCAGCGCACAACTTTTAGCATTCAGATTTATAAAGATTTGCAATTATGCCGATCTAAGCAAATCTTTTCGACGCACTAAAAATCGATTTAAATTTTAGCCCTATATTTTACTGCGGCGCGATCAAAATATAAGAAATAATATGTAGGCTTAAGTTTCAAACGCATCATATAGAAAGAATTAAAAGATTTAGCGGCAACTAAAAACTTGAACACAAAATTTGATCTTTTCAATTTAAACTGCTTGCTTAAACGCATCTGTAATAATAAGCTCAACTAATTAATGCAACTTAGTGTAAGTTCATCATCAAAGCACAAGCTTTCAACTATTGGCATAAGTACGAAGCAGTTTTAAAAACAGGTGAAACGCTCGTTTAATTCAAATAAACTCAAAGAATTGAAAAGTTAGTCAAAATCTAATTCAGTTTTCTTCTATTGCTCACTCTAAACGAGTTGTCAACGTTTAAGGTCATAAAAAATGTTATTGTATACAACTTATAAACTAGATAGTAAACAAAGTAAATAATTCTATTTTTAAGTCTTCGCCGAAGCTATTGGGTTTTTTAAAACCAATATTACTGAGTCACCACGCAAAAACATCTTTGCTATGTATCTGTCTTTGTTGATTGGTTTAGCTTTTTTTCCTTTGCCGGTTTTAGGAATTTCATACCACATTTCTTTAACATTTTCAAGAACCATGTTGCAATGCCTGTCAAATGCCTTGACCCTGCCAAGAAGTTTCCTATTGTTTCTACAGTTGATAAGAACTTGAGTGTTGTTTTTTACAGAAGTCATAAGGACAGATAGAGGACCAGTTTTAAATTCTTCTTCTTCTCGCTGTTTTAACTCTTCAAATGTGAGTTCACTTTTCGGTTTGGCAAGAAGCCTAAAAAAATATATGCATATTTATTGTACCACAGATAAAACATTTACTAATTTACAAAAACATCTCAACACCTAAAACAATCAATATTTTAATTGAATAAAATCAGCAATTAATGCATTATTCTCTTAAATTTCGTCAAACATTTTTATCAAAATAAAACCTTTAATTTAGTGTAAAAAAAGTGAAACAAATAATATCATTTTAAGTAATATCTAATATTTGAATGTTGAAAAAAAAATCCTCACAAGTATACTCACACTAACAACACATTATGAACCTGTCTACCATTATATAAAAAACACAAAACGTACTTGTCCACCATTATTTAAAATAATTGTGGACAAGTACATTGTGAAAAAAATTATAAAAAAATAGACAAATTAATTTAATCTAAGAAAGGTGAGGACTAAATACCCAAAAGTAATGCAAGACTTTACTCTTAATTTAAATTCTTAGATAAAAACAGTAATTTCAATAATTACATTTAACTTGATTAAAACAAAAAACAACATTTACTAGCATGTATTTTGTTGGAAATTATTCAGCAAAAATACATATTTTTTATAAACAAATTTATATAAAATACTTTTTGATAATTTAAATAAAACGTTTTTATAATGATTATAACAATTAGTAAAAGTAATTGTTACTTTTAAAAAGCCTTTCACATATAATCAAAACATTTAATTTTGTTGAAGTTATTTTGAAATATCAAATTTACCTTTCACAAAAAATACATACTTTAATATATTAATATTTCGTCAAACATTTTTATCAAAATAAAACCTTTAATTTAGTGTAAAAAAAGTGAAACAAATAATATCATTTTCATATTCTTAGATAATTTTAGTAAGGAGCCATTGCATAATTTTATCATGCTTGAGATTAAGTTACTAACTGAAAGAGTCACAGGCCTTACCAAACCAATTAAAATTAAGCATTTAATTTAATTAGGCATAAAAGTGCTAGAAAAAAATTTAGAACTGTATGGCTTTGTTTTGATTATTTATTCATGTTCCAGAGTTATTCACCTGAACCTTTGAGAACTGTTTTAATCCAAAAAATTAATAAAGTTTTTTGTTTTCTTATGTGTGATATAAAAATACTATGGGATAAAAAAAAATGCATTTGATAGTTAATACATACGGCCGAATAAGAACAATTTAAATACAGTTTTTTAAAAAAACTATCATTCCAATTTTGTGATCAATAATAAAATGATGCACACTAGGGGAGGTGGGTCTGGGGACCCATCCAAAAAAAGGTGACCTCTAAACATTTTGATGAAACAATCAAAACATTAATCTAAAGTTAGTTGTTACTTAATTTAAAAACATAATATAAAACCATGAGAAAAGATCAAAAATCTTTATTCCAAATGTAACTTTCAATGTAGTTAAAAATAATGTTCTTTGATAGTTACGTTTGGAATAAAAAACTTTTTTTAGTAAAGTTATATTTTTATCATTTTTAAATTTCAATTTAATAAGTTGGATTTTTTTTCATCATTTTCTCTAGTTAATTGTTATTACTTTTTATAACAAAAAAGAAACAGCAACTAAACAAAAATAGCAAAATTTAAAAATTTTAAAGTTAAAAACAGATGAATGAAAATAGCAAATTTTCTTTTTCATTTGTACCCTTGGGCACAAATAAAAATGGTTCTAGGGTTAAAACTTTTTTACTTCCCTATTTAATTGCTGAATCATAGTCAAAGCTTAGTTGAATAGAAATAAAAAGAGATGATGAATGAACTAATTTTATTTTTGTTTGATATTTTATCAAAGATAAACTAGTATTTTTTTTTTAACTTTTTGTTTATTTTTTATGACTTTTTTTTTGCATCAATTTAAACAGATTTTGCAAAGTTTAGTCTGGAATCTTTTTTAAACGGTATCCAGTTCTTGCTTTATACAGCGAAGAGTTTGGAGATACTCAGTGTAGTTAAGGCACTTTTAAAATATTGTAGCGTCTGTATGATATTTTATTGCTTATAACAAATTTCTGTTAAATGGTCTGGTCTGTAAATTATGAGAAGACGAAAAATATTAAAATGATAAATTTTGCAATATCATAATATATGTTTGAAGCGAAAAAACCCAGACTGATGACTTTTTGTTTTTTAAAAAAATCATTCAAAATTACAATTGCTTGTCCAAATTTGAAAAAGATTTTATATTAATACGTTTTTTAGGCAAAATGAACATTATAGTTTAACAATATGATCTTTTCTGATTGTTTATTGGCAATTTTCCATAATTGTAAGCTCTTTCTTGGTCGGAATTCTAGTATTTTTTATGAAAATTGAACCAATTAGAACTAGAATCAGTAGTAAATTAAAGAACTTTTTCAAAAGATTTTAATTAAATTAAAGTTAATGCCGATGAGCGGAATTTGTTTTAAATACTTTTCAGATTCACTATGATGGGGTGTAAAATAGTGTTCTTTAGATTCACTATGACGGGTTGTAAAAAGGTTTTGAAAATTATATAAAAGAAAAGTTTCTTTAAATATAAAAACCTTTAAAAAAAAAAAAAAAAAAACCTTTAAAGATCTTGTTTGGACATAATATGCTGACAAAACCATGCTAATTCTAAATAAAAGTATTTGAGATTTTGTTAATCGCCTTGACTACACCGAGTACTGCTTTTTTTCCGGCAACATTAGGATGGAATGGGAAGGGTAATATTTTTGAGTTCTTACATTTAACATGGGTCATTTTAAACAGATCTTAATAAAACTTTTATTAAGTTATTGTAATCGCAATTCTTATTATTTTAAAGGTCAAAAAGAATGTGTAAAAGAAACATAATTTTCTAGAAAAGTTTACGTTTCATATTTTCGTTTCCTTAACGCAACCTAAAATAGCAAGCTGAAGATCAAAAATTTGCACAAGTTATTAAGACAGAAATTTTTAACTTTTGTTCATTTATTATCAAAAGCAGTTTACTCTTAATTGCCAAAAAACTAAAGTTAAATATACTCAGAATATTTTAAAATCATTTAAAATCTCTCAAAAAAGCAAATTTATACATTCTGTTGTTATAAAATTTTGCTACAAGTTTTTAAAATTAAGTTTTGTAAAAACTTAAAGGACATGTACGTCAGGTAATTACATAAAAATGTCATGTAACTATGTTAAAAAGCAATTTCTTTTTATCTGATTTTATTGACTTGAAAAAAAAAAAAAAGGTAGCTAAAATATATTGAAAATTATTTATTACTGCAATTAATAATACCGCATTATTTCCTACCGCATTCAAAACTGAATTTCTTTTTCTATTTTTAATAAAAAGCAAAATAAAAATTGAAAAATAAAAATTATCTTTGGGCACCCATATCACTCCAGCAGTACTAAAACAGGTCTGGGTTCATCCCTGTTATATTGTTAAATCTTAATCAGACCTTGCCTAATTCTTTTTCTATCTAACTCTAAATGTTTGATAAAATTTAAATACGGTGATTGAGTTGGAGAGAGCAATAAATCTTTTTTTTTTCTTTCATCCATGTTTTCACTGTACAAGCTGTGTGTCAAGACATCATTTGTAGAAACTCCCATTAATTGTTAGCATCTTTATATAGGCGGAGTTTATTTGGCCTGTACAAATTTTACACACATACTCTATTGTAACTAAAGTAGCCTTTGTTACTGACACTCCAGTCAACTTGTGATAGTAATTAGTATACTTTTCAGATATTATCTTTTAAATAGGAACTTTTTCTATTTATTACTTTTAAATTACTTTTATTACTTAAAATAACTTGCTTCCACTTTTTTAAAGTTCACTTAATTCTACAAATAAAGTTAAAGGTTTTTAATTGTATATGAACATTTTTAGAACATTTCTGACACAATTTACTGAAATTTTTAATTTAGTTGCTATTTCTGTTACTGGTTATAGAGCTATCCATCATACTTAATACTTTCCACTTAGTTGCTTTGCTTATTGGTTTTTGTCCTAATTCTGTGTTATCTTAATTTTTAGATTATATCAAAATATTTGACTTCAAGGCTTCAAATATGATTAGTCATCAAAAGCAAACTAAGCTACCTTTTATTGGAAACTATCACTATCATATAAATTAAAAAATATACGAACCCAATATGGCTGATATAAATAAATTTTTTAATGTGTTTTTTTAGAAGAAAAAAAAACTTACTATACTTTTCATTATCTACCATTGTTTCCTGGTGGTTAAGCTGAATTACAAACAACAACTTTTTTGCACAAAACCTGCATTTTCCCTTTAACACAATTTTTCATATTTGAATTAAACCCAATAACTACCTGAAAACAAGAATAATAATTTTTAAAATTTAGCGAGATAAAATGTTTTTTTTTTTAATTTTTTTTTACAGTTATTGAGTTTAATTTGAATGTGAAAAATATTGGACAATGTGTTTAAACTGAAAATAATAGGAAAAAAAAAGTTATAAAAAAAGATTTAAAATGTTTATAGATTAAAACAATGCATATTAGTGATTTGAAGTTTTAAAAGGATCCCGGCTTTAAATCTTTATTTTTTCCTGGAAATAGTAGGTGACTGGGGCCCCAGCTAAACCTAAACCTCAAACATAATTTTTTTGTTAAAACTTTTTTCCAATGCGCAAATCCAGGTTTCACGTTTTTAATAAAATCCTGACCCGAATATAATAAGTGCTTGAATATCGATGTTTTTAATAGTGATAAATTATAACAAATTTTGCTATAATATATTAAAAATAAATATTTGATATAATATACATAATAATTATTCATCTATCGCAAATTATTATAAGAAAATGAGAATAAACGGTTACTATAATTTAAATAATTTCGGGTCTTGATTTTATAAAAAACGCGAAACCTGGATTTGCTCATTGGAAAAAAGTATCGACCATGAGAAGCCTATCTGCAAAATGTGTTAAGTCACAAAAATAAAAAAGTTTTTAAATTTCAGAAATGCACTAAAAAAAGAAACACTAAGCTAAACTTAAACCTGGAAGAAAACTCAAAAAAATAAAGAAAGTAAAAACAAAACTGTTTCTTACAAAAAAATGCTTTTGCAACTTACTTCTGATTGATTAATAAATGACCAAATATCATTTTAAAAATTAATATTTAATTTATTAAAAAATTTTATATAGAATATTCTTAAATTAAATAAACATTTTTTTTCCCCCAAAAAAAGTTGCAAACTTATAACTTGAGGTAACTTAAAAAAAAAAGCTTTTAAAAGATTTTCAGAAAGACATGGAAAAATAATTTTAAACATTTAAACTTTTCATAAAAAATATAATCCTATCTAAAAAAATTTAAATAAATTTGGTTAAACACAAAATGCATTTATTTCAAACAATCACTATGATTATTTTTTTATTTTACTTTAAGCCTTCATGTAAATTAAAAAACTTTATAAAAGATCAACAACCTAAAGTTATTTATAACAATTTTTTCAATGGATTTAAATTAAAACATCAAAACAGTCAAGAAAAATAATATATAAGCATGGTCAGTTACAGGGTGCTTGTAAACTTTTTCTGAATTGCCTGAATTAAATAAATTTTGGTCCTAAAAACAGACAAAAATTTTTTTTGTGTATGCACAACTGAAAGTAGTATTGTTATTCCTTGTTTTCTTAAAATCAGTTTACTTAGCATGTTTTGCAAATGGGTTCCTTGTTTAACTATGAAATGTTTATTACAATTGAGTTGATTAATACAAACAGACAACCATAATTGATTGCACTGTTATTGGAAATAAATTCGGTTTTATCTAGGTACCATTTTGTTCCAATCAAGGCAACTCATTTCTCAAATCGGAACACTTTGGCCCTTTAATCGGACAGCTTCCTTCTTTTAAAAACATACCCAGTAAAATCAAAACAAATTAATTCAAAATTATTTTCATTATTGCAGCCAAATTTGAAATTATACTTTAAGCTTTAACTAGCATGACATTTTTTTTTTATTAACAATAAATCACTAAAGAAAGTATTATATTTGAGGTTTATGATTTATTTATTACTAATTGCTGCTAACTTATTTCAATTTTGACCTCATCTTTTCACTTTTTTCTCCAAAAAAGTTCCAATCAAGGAAAATCTGGACTTTTTTATATCACTGCAATATGATTCCAGCAGTATGATAAGCATATCGAATATTCATGATATGCAATATGATTCCTACAACAATTTATAAAATAAATTTTCATTATTACTTGCATTTTAAATCCATTTGCATTAAACATGAAAAAATGTAGGGGCTATTTGCATTAAACATGAAAAAATGTAGGGGCTATCAAAAACTCTCCTATATTTATATGGTTTATCATATTTGCCGATACAAAAGATGTGATGTGTGATTTATCATATTTGCCGATAGAAAAGATGTGTTGTGACTGACAAGATGAGAATGCCAAATTGCCAAAATTTGCCAATAGAGAAGATGGGTGTGTGTTGTGACTAACAAGATGAGAAAAGAAATAATGATCTTAAACAGATTAGGAATAGTAAATGTGAGATTGCAACTTTAAGAGAAAAAGGCAAATATAGAAGTATGGAAAGTTAGGGAAAGAAAATGCTTTAGATCCAACCCCGACTATCTTTTATCAAAGTCAGTCAAATATCAACCCCAGTTGCTTACTACTCGGAATCTATTGCTTTTTAACCTAGAGTCTCATAGTCCTTGCTCCTTTATTCATAAGGACTCCAAGTTTTAAATTTGATTTTTTCTTTAACTAAAAGCCTCATTTTTTCCCTAAAAGTTGTCCATAACCTTCTTGTTATGACATCATTGTATATTTATAATATATTCTAATTTTGTACACGTGCTTGTATACCCTAACATGCCAATTGTTTTTTATCTACATATAGTATTAAATGTAATAAATTTTATTTTGTAAATTATATATTTTTTATATACAAATAGTTTTTGATAACTCATAGGACATACAAAGAAAATACCTATCAATAAATTATAGAAAATAAGAAACATTAGATAGATATTGCTTATAACACTTAACATGCATTGAATAAAGTTTATATTTTGTCATAATAAAAATTATAAATGCCTTGATGAAATTTGTTTATTGTTATAATTAAACATTTGTGTCGAGTAAGCTTATATATTAATAAGTAAACAATTTTTTTTTTTATTATAACTTAATTATTTTATGAACCAAAATAAGATTAAGAATTAGACATATACAAATGGTCTTTCCGTAAAAATCTGCTACATATCAATTTGCTGTGTTGACTCACTACTGCTCAAGCATAGCTAGTTTAGTAAGCATAGCTATTTGGTGGGGGTTTAAGTCTGACATAAAGTGGGACAGAAAATCTAAATAATGAAATCTTGAAATTTCTTATGGTTAATAAATAATGGGATTTTACGCTACTTTATAAATTTAATTTATAATTTAAAATCATAGTTATTATAGTCTCATAGAAAGTCGTCAAGTTGACTAGATTTAAAATACTTGAAATTTTTTTACTATCAAAAAAATATTAAAAAGCTCCAACCATTATTTTTAAACATTTATATACTAAGAAATTATTGACAAAAAAATACTTACGACATTATGATGAAAACGATTTAGCAGGATATATAACTTTTAAAACTATTAAAGTTGAGCTATGGCATAAACTCGTTACAAACAATACAATCAAAGCGCCCAAAAGTGATCATTGTGACTTGTTTAACCAGTTTTTACGGATAAAAAGACTCCTTAGAACTTGTGATCAGTCTATTATGTAAGCAAATCCAGATTCCAAATCTTGAAGTATTATTATAAATTTTATGACAATTATGACAACAAGGTTTTTAAATAACTGTTTCCAGAGACTTAATTTTCTTCTATTTAATTGGAACCCAGATTCCGGATCATAATAGAGAGGATTTGGATTCAAAGATTCTAATGCCTTATTAAACGGATTTCCGGATTTGGTTAAAACTATATGATCAATATACTTTTAATTTTGTGAACAGATCTAAATTTTAAAACTTTTATACTTATGTCAACAATATTGAGTGTAGCATTTTTCAAAAATTTCTTCAAAAATTCTCCCGCAGTTACCTTTAAGTATAATTTGTAGTTACAATTTTGTAAATTTAAGAATTTAAGAAGAACCCTGTTGTAATTTGTAATATCATTTGTTCTTCTAAGAAATAAGAACCAAATTGCTGCAATTTTGAGGATGCAATATAAATTCTGATCATATGTCAACGCTTGGCAAATGTTTTTAACTCCACCATCCCCATCGCCTTTCACTTTCACCAAGTCAATGTTTCAACTGGCGTAGTTCTTGATAAGACATCCGCATTAACTTTGACTGGTTCTTCACACTAAAAAAAAACCTAAGGTTATATCACATACCCTACCCCTAAAAATAGAAATTATATCCTTTAAGGTAGAACATTATACACTTAAGCTAGCAAAAAAAAATTTCATTTTTTATGTTTACATTTGCCGTAAAATAAATACTATATTTTACAAGAACAAACAAACATGGCTTCTGAAAGATGATCATAATGATTTTATTATCAGAACAATTTTAAAACAAAATAGTGCAATAAATCATTTTAAAAGATTTAAAAGGTTACACCACATATTTTCTTTGGCATAAACCTCAGTAATCAAAGATTTGGTAGCTATACATATTTTAGGTATTTCTACTGTATCAGTAGGTAGTTCGCCACTATTTAATAAATCTCCGTTTCCAATTTTTAATACCCAGTCCGTAAATTTAGATTCAATGACATTCACGAGCATTTTTTCTGTTAATTTTAGAGTCCCAAAGTTTTTCTATGTTTTCAAAAATATATATATATATATATATATATATATATATATATATATATATATATATATATATATATATATATATATATATATATATATATATATATATATATATATATATATATATATATATATATATAAATTAAATGCTGATATTTATTACAAAAATATCCATCATTTTCATATCTTTTAAATAATTCTGCACGCTTGCTTTTGTAAGTTATACATTTCTATTTTAAGTTTTGATGGTTGCGTACTTGCCCATGATATATATGCATAGCTGATGAAACAATCAAGTAGTCTAAAGCAGAGGTGGCGGAACAGTGGAGGCTTTGGTGCTTCAGCCCCCTCACTTTTAAAAATGTGGGGACTTTTGGTATTATAGCTCCCCTACTTTTTAAGTTTGTAAAGTTTTGTATTTAAAATAATAACTTTTATGTGTTTTCTTTGAACAATGTTTTACAATTCACAAGGGAGCGATTAATAGTTGTGAATAGTATGTAAATCTATACTTAAACACATTTTACATGATTAAAAATTCCTAATTTTGCGACTAGTATTTCCTTACAACTACGAAGAGTAGTTCGGAAGGAACTACGAAGAGTAGTTCCAAGGAACCGTCTCATAAAAAACTACGAGCACTGATTTCTTACTTTGTGCGTGACAAGCATTCTTTAAGTCCAACTTTACCAACGGAAGAAATTATTAAAGAAGGAAACGACATTGAAAAATCTTTTCCTGTTTGTTTCTGCTGTGAGTGGAATGCCGAAAAAATATAAAAAATTTTTACCGATATTGAAGTAACCAAAAAAATGTATGGCAAACAACTTAGATTTTTCAATGAAAAATGGATTATATATTACCCTTGGATTCATCTATGTCATTCCAAAAAGAAAGTATTTTGTTATATTCGCATTGGTGCTGTCAAGAAAAGTCTGGTATCTTTTTCAAAATGCAACGAACAAAGTTTTTTGACAAGTGGTTATGACAATTGAAAAAAGGTTGTAGAAAGACTAAGAAAACACGACCTATCATCATTTCATAAGGAGGCACACGAAAAATTATTTACATTACGTGCAGCATGTTTAAAAAACATACATCAAATGATAAGTGAAATGCATGATAAGCAATGCGATGAGCATTACGAGTGCTTAATTCGTGTAATCTCTACATTAAAATGTGTTACTCAACAAGGTTGAGTAACACATTTTAATGTGTAGCTATTCGACCGAATGATGAAATTGAAGGCAATTTTAATCAGTTACTTTTAATGAGGAGTAAAGATTATCTACCTCTGTCGAGCTGGCTGTCAAACAGTAAGTACATGTCTCATGATATTGTTAACGAGATGATAGAACTAATGGCAAATTATGTGCTGAAAAATGTACTTAGTGCTATTAAATCGAGAATATTTTTTCTGTAATATACGATGAAACTCGAGACTTTTTTGGTATTGACCATATGTCTATACGTGTTTGATCAGTTTTTAAAAATTTTACAATATACGAAGATTTTCTTTGTCTCTATGCAGTTGATGCTACCGACAGTATGTCTCTTTTTTATGCAATATGTGATGCTTTATTAAGATATGGACTAGACAAGAAAATGGTGAGGGGGCAAAGTTACGATTGTGCCGCTTCAATGTCAGGGCATCTAAGTGGTGTTGCTAAACTTTTTCAAGATGATTTTTATACATTGTTACGTACATCGACTCAACCTTGTTCTTCAAGATGCTTGATAACAAGTCAGTTGTATGAGCAAGAAACAGGAATTGTGCCAGTTGTTGTACAATTTCATTTGTTTAGCTCCAAAGAGACTGGTAAAGTTTTAAAAGTTACAATGCTATATACTTGACGAGGATGTCAAGCAAATCAACTTAAATGTTTCTTGTCCAAACTCGTTTTACTGCGAGGACCAAATCATATGGTTCAATTCTGAAAATTTTTAAATTAAATGATCCTAACAGAGTTAAAGCAGAAGTTTTACTTGATTTTAAATCATTTTTTGAATCTTGTGTTAATGAAGGAATTAAAAAATTTGGTTGCAATTCACCTCATGCTTCTTTGCCTCGCCGGCGTTTAACTCCTTCTCGCTTTGATGATAATACTTTAAACATTCACAAATATGGAATATTACCGAGCTCAGTATGACGAGGTACTAGATGTTATAAAAAGTCAATTAAATCAGCAGTTCCCAGAAAATTCAATGGAATCAACAATTGCTTTAAAAAGGTTATATCATGTCCGTATCACCCCTGCAAATGGTGATACGGACATGAAAGCTTTAGATAATATAAAGGTTTTCTATAATAATGATATAGTTTATGAAAAATTAAAAGCTGAACTCTTTCTATTTAAATCCATTAAGGAAACTTATAACATTACACAAAAAATAAACATTAAACAGGTAACATCAATCACAACTATAATTAATATGTTAAACGACTGTAAAGTTTCATTAATGTTTTCTGAAATATCAAAACTTCTAAATGTTCATTAGGCGATACCATGGACAACCTGCACAGCCGAGAGATCTTTCTCTCATCCAAGAATGATAAAGTCATATAGTCGGTCGACCTCGACTCAGAAGCGATTGAATCATCTTCTACTTCTACAATCTTATAAATTGAACATTGCGGAAATAGATGTAAAAGCTATAGCAAAAGTTTTTATAAATGGAAAAAGTAAAGACACCAGAACGTCTTACTTTGGAAAATGTTAAATTATTTTTAGATTGTAACATATTTTTTTAATTTTAAATTTTAATGAAATATGTTTATAGTTGATAGCATACTTAATTAAAAATAGATGAATGTGGTTTCCTTTTAAGAATAACTGAAAACTAATATTAGTTTATAATTCTCATCAACAAAATTTCCTAAGAACCTTATACTGGCTTGTTTTTTTAAATTAATTTATTAATTAAGAAAAGGTCAAGCAACTTAAAAGGAAGGTTTTCTTTTTGAGTTTCTTTTGATGGAATAATATATTTTTATGGAATAAAATATTTAATACTCCAGATTGTATACTAAATATAAATTGTTTTCTATAGGTAAGATTTTAATCCGATTGCAAGTTTTATTAGTTTACCATAGTTCTTAATTTATCTAATAGGATGGAATGGTCAACTGTATCAAATGCTTTTGATAAGTTAATAAAAATTTATAAAGAGAATTTTTTTTTTAAACCATTAATTATTTGATTAAAATAATTATAGATTCTGTTATAAAGTACAGGTTCAAAAAGTTTTTAAAATTTAAAAAGTATTATATATATATATATATATATATATATATATATATATATATATATATATATATATATATATATATATATATATATATATATATATATATATATATAATAAAACTAATAATAAACAAAAGTATGCAATCAGAATCATTTCCAATTTGGGCCGTATTACACACTCCCAAATTATTTGTTAATTCAAATATAATGAATGTTTATCAATTAAATGTCTATCAAATTCTTATATTTATGTTCAAAATTGTTAAAAATATATATTCTAAAATATTTTACCCACTATACAAAATAAATCAGAATAGATATCTAACCAGATTTTCAAATAACAGTTCTATCAACTCAAAAGTTATTTTGCGGCGACTGAATTCTCAAATTTTTACTAGAGGGCCAAAATTATGGAATAAAATATTAACTAATGAACTTAAAACAATTGTTATACTTAATGAGTTTAAGAACAAATTGAAGCAAAAATATTGATGAACGACGTAGGCAATGCCTATAAATATGTGTAATTTTAGCCGCAAAGCATTGTGGGATGTCTTGCGGGACCAAGTAATCACAAACAACGCAACTCTTGGTAAAATATTTATTTGCATTATTCTTGCCAGAGGGCTTCCCATAAAAAAACTTTTCTTTTATAAATTAAAATAATTTTAAAACTATT